GCACAAGGACGACGTCTAAACGCACTAAAGCCCAGTGAATGGTGCTGATTTACGCCAAACATTTCGGCCCGGGGTTGGAGTATTATTTCTTTCGCACCGTCAAACATCTCTTATATCGATTTCTCCTAAACGTGACTGTTTTGATTCCAACTTTCCCCGTTCCATAAATTTGCTTAAGTTACTGAGATTATCTTTATTTTGTTCTTTCTCTCACGGTTGATCTATCAGTTTCAGTTTGAACAACCATTAACCATACACTTTCGTGCGCCGGTTTTGGTTGCTGTATTTTGGCTGCTCATTGGGATGAAGAATAGGAGAAGAAAGGAAATTTGAAAGTGGATTCGAAAGGAAAATGGNTGGGAAGAAATTGAGGAGATGCACGAACCCCACTGTTTACGACACCCAGCCATATCGCTCAGTGTCTCTAACCATCGGTTACGATCATCCCGAGGTCCCCAGCCAGGGAGCCTAACAGAACCTATGTGACCCAGTTTCCTGGTCAGGGTTTTCATACCCTCGTGCCAGGTCTGAACTTGACCACCCTTGGCTTTTTTCCACTCTGTTCCTTCTTCGGCGAACATCGCTCGCCGCGGTTGTTCTATACGTTATTTACTTACCGTGTCACCAGATTGGTTGCCGCGGCGAACGATGTTTGTTGAAAAAAGATCAAGGGTTGTCGAACGAATATCTGGAATGAGGGCATGAAAACTCTAACCAGGAGACTGGGTCATATAGGTCTTGTTAGGCTCCCTGGCTGGTGACCCCGAGATCATACTCACCGGTGATTAGAGACACACGGAGTGATATGGTTGGGTGTCGCAAACCATGGTTCTCATGTATCTACTCACTATTCCTGCAACATCAATCAATATGAATTCTCCATATTCCGCTTAAAGTCGCTCTCAACATTCCAATTTACATTTTGCTCTTTTATCCAAAGGGGCGGCCGAAAGACAGAAACCATAATGGGCGCGCGAAAGTGCATGGTTATTGGTTAGAAAAACTGAATTGAACTTACCACTTGCACTGTGACAAATCAGCTCTCTCCTAAGCCAAACGTGCTTCCTTTCTTTTTATAAGACTTCGGTCGCCCCTACAATTGATTGGATTACGCGCTTGTAGTTCGGAGCTTCGCTCGTCACAATGTAGCGGAGTTCGCATCATCGACGACCTGCCCCCAGAATGATTTGTGGTCACGAGCATACCGCATAACAAAGCAACAAATCCACCCACTATATTTCAGTTTCACCGAACCCATCTTGCTTCACTTATTAATTTGCATAGGTCCCGTACACGAGCGGCTCGTCACCGACCCTGACTGCCTTTCACTAGATGTCGCACTTATAACATTATTCAAGTGAGTAATGAAGGACTGGATTTAACTTCAAACGGGAATTCGTTGTGTATACAGCAAATGAAGCGTGAACTGAAGAGCTAGGAAGCACCGGACAGCTGTTTCAACCTGGTTGGGTCTCATCAGCAATGCGAATCCATGGACCCAGATGGGGATGGAACTTATAACTTTCACAAAAAACGGCGCAGCGGTTTCGTCGCTGTCACACGCGTGTTTTGGACCCTATAATCCGAGTTTCGAGCACAACCACCCCCACTCAACTTTGGTGGTAGGCAGCTCTGCTGTCGTCCGCGTCAATAGATCTAACCTATCGGGGACTTATGTGGTTCGCCACAACAAGTCCCGGGGTTTAGGTTCCTGGTTTCCATCACTGAACAGTAGATCCACGGGACTATGGGGATTCCCCGTCTGCTAATCATCACACGAAAATGATTAATAAAAGAGCTGCGATACACTGCCCCCTTAAACGTACCACATCTTCATTAACGTGGCACTAGAATGAATGTTACCTTCACCATCTTTGGATTACGAGGTTTAGTCCTTTAATTGTACTCGTGCACATGAAATAAAACGTTAAGCAACACTCGCAGCACAGACATCTGAGAGAAAACAAGGCGCACAATTAACAGGAGCGGAAACATGAGAAACGAACAGCAATGTCGTTGTGTGCTGCGATGCGAGCTGCCCGTGACATCTGGAATGCGCACAGTAACACCATCATCATGGGAAATAGGGGAACGGACTTAATTTAGTGTGTTCACGTGTTTGCATTTATTTACTCTTCATCTAACAGCAATGCAAGTGGATTACAGCTAACGCGAGTAATCCGCATCAGAGACAGTGGAAGATATTTATACATATATTTAACACCGGCTTGAGAACAAGCATGGCGCCAACGCCACAGTAGAAGAACAATAATCCAGAGCAACATTTGAAGTAGCAGAGCAGTGACGTGACCACATAATGGGTGGTCAGTTCAGCTCAAAATTACGCTATTAGGGGGGTCGTTGTGAACTGAGGTTTCGTAAGTGTGAGAACAGCGATGAAAGTTGACCCAAAGAAATTACAGTTATGCGACGCTACGCATTTCCAGTCGGTTCCAGTCATGTAAATGCAACAATGCAACAACAGACACGTGTCAGAGTTAGAGTTAGGTCATGGGGCAGCACCAAATTCTCTTTTGCATGTAGTACGCGAATACACCCGTTAATCCGTGTCATCCCACCAAATCAGGAACACCGTCGCGATCACATCAAAGCTGATAAAAGCCATACCGATGGGCATTTGATTATGGAGGTGAATGACAGACAGAAACATACCTCATGTTGTTGTTCGACTACTTCAGTAGTGATAGGAGCAACTTCCGGTGTGTGTTCCACACTTTGTTCGGACATCTGTTGAATCATGGCCGTATTCAGGACCTGATCGACCAGGGAAGATGCAGCTTCGACTACTTGTTGGTGCTCTGCGGCGGTAACAGGCGTGGCGGACAAGGTAGTGGATTCAACTATGTCCGTGGTTGTAGCAACGCCAGCAGGGGTAGCGGCAACGAGAGCGGCCTCTTCAGTTCGTTCTTCTGCGGGGACGTTATCATCGGATGTCTTTTCGGAGCCCTTTTTCGAAGTGCTCAATCGTTTTGATAGTCGCCGGTGAATCCAGACAAGCGGGTTTTTAGTCTTCTTAGATTTTTCTTCTTTCTTTTTTTCCTCATCCACTGCAGATGTCTCGTGTCCCTCGGTAACAGCATTTACCGAACCGTTGGGCCCGTGCTCCGCTGCGGCTGGTTGATCATGTGCGACTGGGGCCTCGGCTGTCACATTGCTTTTGGCCGTTGTTACAGGCTGAACAAAGCATACAAATGGGTATATGCACACACATACACACACACGTAAGAATGACAATCGGTCACCACAGCAAGGTATTACGACATATGGTACCGAATTAGATAAGCAACCGATGCGCAATAAAAGATCGTATCCACCAAAGCCAGGGGTGGACATGAGTTACACAGATTGCACACTAAAACATGAGTATTGAATAAATCTGTAAAACAAATAGACCGCATTGTGCGCAAATGTGCGGCCTATCCGGAGGGACGCAGGGAGAACAGGAACGCAGAGGGTCCGAGTGACTCCATAGCTTGTTTGGAGCAGTGGACTTCACACGGAAACAATGCGATGGACGCGATTCACGAAAATGCTACGAATAAGCGCCAAAAAGATTTTTCAAAATGAAACCGGATAAAAAAACTCAGTGACACGAGGTCAATCAGTGGCATTGGTCACGGCAGAGGCGAAAACACAATTATGATCATCAATGGAGCATACACAAAGAGGACAGAAGCTACGAGCGTGGCTCGTAGAACTGTTGCGGAAGCGCGCGCACATACAACAAACGGTAATTGAATCAAGGTCGAAAGCGACACAGAACATCAATCGCATTCTTCACGACCATTCAAAATACATCTGCCTACCCACTGACATTTCCGCCTACCTACCTCGATGTCATCGTCTATAGGAAGTAGATCCGGAGCATTTGTGACATCGCCATTGACGATCTGGACAATATGGCGTGACAAGAATGGAGAGGAAATGATGAGTGGTAAACAGAGAGATAAGCAAGAGAATGTCCATACCGCAGAACTGGGTCTACTACGAGCGGATGGCCAAGATATTTTTGAACGAATTACAGCCAAAAAATCGATTCTTGTTTCAGTTAGAACGAAGTCCTTAGATTGCACGATATTTCAATGCAATTGCAAGTTGCCTTACGGGTCGGTCAATGGCCCCGCAGGAATACCGTCAGCTTTGATGCAGGCAACATCGCTGCATCTCGCACAGTGATTAAGTCGACGCCACCGGCGTGCTTTGGACCTATTTGTCCGAGGTTTGAGCCCCACCAAGGTCACCCGATTTTAGTGGTAGGCAACTGTGCTGTCGTCCAGTTCAATACCAAGCCAAACTAGCAGGGCCTTATGTGGTTCAACACTCTTGGTCTCGGGGCTGAGGTTACCGGTTTCTATCACTGAACATCAGGTCCTCATGACTAGAGGGTTCACAACGTCTGCTGTTCATCACACTAAAGTGCGTAATAAGAACCGTCGATCGGTTCATTTCTGTGTTTTTCACCATGATTGATCGGTCAGAATAAACTCAAATAAGTGGAAGTATTACAGCCGAAAAAAGGTGAAATTGTGTAGCGGGCGGGGGATGGGGATAGCAACCGTTATCAAACAAGTGATAAAGTGAATCGCAAATGAGGGCTTACCTGACCAGCATTGACTGCTTGCGGTGCATCCCCATCGGCCTCGATGGGCTGTAAAAACAAGTGAAGCGAAAAAAAAACATTAGAAACAGTCACGGTGGCGATCATCGCACTGGTTCGGCAACTGATTCTCACAGAGACAGAGATCAGAATGGATGGATGGTTCAATGGCCACGACCGATGATTATGTACCCACACCCAAAGAGCCATCTATTGATAAAAAAAATAAACCGAATGGATAGCGGGAAAAAACAAACTAGCCCAAACGCTTATTTCCTTTTACTCCAAGGTAAACTTTTCATTACACACTATTATGTATCAGGTCATCATATTTTTACACGAAGTTTGGCGTTTAGCGGTGCGACGGAAAACCTGCTTTCGAATAGCGATGACAGCGAAGCTCACATAGCAACTGGCCCTCATTATCCGAAATCTTTGTGGACTTTAAACCCAAATAGTGAATTGGAAAACCGCAATTGATGCTGTCGTGTGTGGGCACAAACAGTAGCCTGGAAGACGGTAGTGCTGTCACACTACAGTTCATTTACTGCGTAGAATTAGAATCCAATGAAGTGCTCACGGGTTGTGGTAGATCCCTACCGGTGGTCATAGGTTGTTTTTAGATAAATGTCTTTCTCACCTCTTCAAATCCGATTCCAGTCGATGACGAAGACAGAGAAAAGGCACACACGACTAATGCAACCCCGTATTTTCGATTGGTAAATTTTCATGAAACATGTTAGCGCAAACATACGTCTCCGTAGATTTTTGTTTAATCGGAAATTAATAAGCAGGAACCATTCGGAAATCACTTTCTCTCAGTTTGAGAAACCATTAGTTAAACATTGGCTGTATGTTGAATACAAACTAAAAATGTTTGGCAGCGATCAGTGAAGTTCGCCCCATTGTATTTTACTCTTCGATGCGGATGCTGCTGCATGTTGAACCTGTGTGTTTCGGAAAATGTGATGCATTCAGTAAAAAAAATAGCATACAAAAGATCAGTCGAGGTTACGAATTTCAAACTACTGAGTAGAACCATGAACTGACGTGATAAAGCCGCTGAGAGCATTTATTAAAAAACAAGGTAGCACTCAAAAACTAAATTGCAGGAAGGTGATTAGGGCTTTCACAGATCGTAATGTGGAACAGATTCCATTACCGCTGGTTAGCATAGCATGCGAGATATCAAATAATTGGTTGGACTTGGTGGAAAACTCACAATATAGCGCACGTCTTGTGGCTGTCAATACAACAGAACATGATTGGGTAATAAATGACATGCAACATTTGTCATGTTAGACACCGCAGTAATGAACGGTAGAACGGACAGAGCTCAGCATGCACTACTGTCTGCGATTACGAACAGTCATGTGATCAAAGAAACTCACGTGCGGTCCTAATGGGACCGAAGTAGAAGTGAGCTACTCATCACCAGAGACGGTTCCGAACGCAGTGAACCAGCAAACTCGTCCATTTATCAATTAGATCAATAAACCCTTAGTATGTAACCATTGAACCCAATGAACATGGATATAATCACGTTTGAAACAATATGCTGCAGCAGGAGATCCGAAGCACCCGTTCGGAATTTAAGCCAAGTTATTAAGAAAAACTGACATCAGATTATCAAACGTGTCTGCGAAAAAATTCCTCATAGCCCTGAATAAGTGTCGTAGATTTTGACGTGGTGATGCCTGTTCATCCGAACAAGAGGATAAAAAATCGACATCCGGGCTATGAACGAGTTGTCTGATTACTGGCAACAGAGGGAGATTGGCTGAAAACCGAGGTCACAAACCCACTAAGAAGTGTGCGATCTGCAAGACCTGGTTGTGATAATGGTCATCTGTTCGATCGGGCTTCGAGGTACGTTGGACAGCTTGAACGTATGGCTACGCCAAATGGCACTGGATCGGAAATAATGGGCACTGGCCGCCGAAAGATTGCGACATTTTCACATCGTTTCACGGCCTTACGGATGAGCCTATTCGTACCTACACGCTCCGGTGGCGAAGCTCCAAGGAAATCTATGTGCATTGACCTGGCAAATTACGGACCGATAGTAGTACCGAGATTTGCTTGGCACATTATTTCGGTAATATGGACGCGGGTGAAACATAATAAGGGTAATGCTGTAATTAGTAAGAAATTTAGATTGTACATCAGGCCCTAGTTCGATGAATTTAGAACACTAGAAAATGCATGGCTAGTCCCCTTTTCTCCTGCAGTGAACAAGAAATGGGTTGTTTGACATTCAGTGCTCAATATTGTTTTACCAGAAATTTCAGATAATCGAAAGTCGTAACGCGGGAACCCCAATAACATAAATGAAAATTTGTATGAAAACCACGCATCGTGGTATTCATACAAATTTTCATTGTTATTGGGGTTCCCGTGTTGCGACTTTCGATTATCTGAAATTTCTGGTATACCGTAATGGGCTTCGTTTTTAAGCCCCGAATAAAGGGATTTCTTCGCATGAAACAATATTATGTACTGATGTCTCAACATAGTAACACTGACAAGGGCACACAACAAATTGAATATCGAACAAGTAAAAACTCACCGCTTCTGTTTTATTCTTGTTTTCCACATGAGAAATAGTAAGTTTTCCTGTCGCTTGACCCATTAGGCTCAGTGTAAGTTAAATTCACAATCACAGACAAACGATAACAATAGCCGGATATTCCGCTCACCGACCGTCGACTTGCGAAGGACTGAAGGGTTTATGCGAAAGTGACACTGACAAGCNTGGCTGCGCGATGGTGCGTGCGTATGTGTTAGTGCGTACAAGCGAGCTGGCGGCGACGGTCTTGCCCTGGTCGAGGGGACGTGCCGTTGGCCTCCACAACGCTCTCGTTCGGCGCGACAGACACAGGGCGTAGTGTATGAGTCAGTCCACTCGTCCCTTCTCATTTGATTGGTCTATTTTTTAGACTGATTGACCATGCACGCACATACATGCAGAACATTCACAATGCAGTCTTGTTGTGACCACCAATCAGCATTCAGACTGAGATTGTTGAGCATCGACCTTGAACAGACCAATAAGGAGAAGGCCTGTATGCGCTGTTCTGCTTTGTTTCGCGGCTCCACGTCTGAGGGGAGAAACACGCATGCAGGTCTATCCGTGTCGGTCTGCACACGCTGACGGGTTCTGACCGAGACTCCGTGGTGTCGAGTGAAGACATCATTCGGTGGAGTCGCCCACTGGAACTTACCGTTTTTCATGCCCCATGAAATTTAGCCCCCGCACTGGTCATGCCCTGATTACTTATACAGCACCAACTGCAATTTTCGCTGGATTGATATCTCGATTTTTCGCAGACATCGCAACGACCGAGATCGATGTGCTTCGTGTATTCGGTCGAAAGCTGTCTCAGTTAAGTTGCATCTGTTCGAACGGACCTAAGTTACTCATTGGAAATGAACCGTGCATCCAGCCTTTGGGACCTAGTCGCACAATTTCACTGGAAGACCACGATAACCATGTTCGAGAATGTTGGGCATTTTGCGAATCCGTAGTGCGCTGCTTATCGTTCAGTTATTAGGGTTTCAAATCTTGGAATTTAGCTGATGAAACGTGGTGGTGGAATAAGTTATCACTGCTTTCTTACCTTCCTTCAAACTTCATCCATATAGTCCACAGACAGTTTCGTTTACCATACACCCCAAACAAGATAGTTGCTACGATTCATTGAGTACCGTCTTAACTACGAAATACATGACAACGATTTTACGATTCACAGAGCAGCAGGAGGAGGGGCCAGTGTAGAATTTTCAATATGCGGCCTTGTAGAATATTTTGAAAAGTGTAGGGTAGGGAGTTGCCTTCCATTACATCACCAGTGTATTTAATGAGAAGCGAAGCAACTTCCGGTGCAGTTCGTTAGTAATGTCACATGGAGTTGGTGACCTGTAATGTTTCGTCAAATTCTGGAGAAACTGGCTAGTGGTACACTGGTAGGAGTCTGAGTACGGAACAAGTTAACTCTACTGTGTATTTTTCCTTGTGGATACTGCAAAATGCATCCAGTTAGTCCCGAAAACAGTCGCTTAGACTTGTGTAGGAGTGGGGTGGGAGTTAAATATACGCACGAAGGAGATGCAACAGTGATCAGAGGTAAATTGTTGCAGGTCGTCCGTGCTGTACTCATGAGAAAGCTTTGGGCGAAAACCTTTCAAACACGATCACGGGTGATCGGACAAAATCCTGAACTCGAGTGCTTATTTCTGTAGACCATATTGGTTCCATTTTCCTATACTTCATGCTTCGCAGTACCCTGATACCCACTCTGGACTGCGAAAACTATTGGATCAGGTAAGAAGCCGGAACTTTGTATGCAATGCATGATTGTTGAATTGAAGTAATTGATGCGGCCCTCGACTCACTCTATCTGTGACATTTATTCAGTTCAAGCACGGAACATGAAGGAAAATTGCTGTAGACTTCAGTTACCCCATATGGACTCTAGACCTCGATTCCCGTCATCACATATAACATAATAATGAATACACAAACAAGCCATAATGGAAAAACAATTGTTGCATAACTCAGAATAGTGGGGAAATTCCCGACTGATCGACTAACTGGACACAGATCATTTTATACTGAAATCAACATGGAGTGAGAAGTTCATGTTGATTTCAGTGAGTGAGAAGTTAATAAAGAAAATACGAATCATGTGAGTAATGGAGGATTTGATCCAATTTCAAATGATATTTCATTGTGTATATTGCAAATGAAGCGTGATCTGAAAACCTAAGAAGCACGGGACTGCTGTTTCAACCTGGTTGGGTCTCATCAGCCCAGTGAGCGAATCCATCGACCCAACTGGGTACCGAACCCGGGACCTAATGATCAGAAAGCAGACCGTTTTTCATTTTCCATATACACGATATGGCACAACCCATCTTTGCGGGCTTGTTGCGGCCCAGTGCTGAGATGAGCATGGTCTGTGGCCCGCGAAGATGATTTGTGCTATATCGTATAAATCGAAAATAAAAAACGGCCCGCAGTTGGGTCGATGGATTCGCTCACTGGGCGGATGAGACCCAACCAGGTCGAAACAGATGTCCAGTGCTTCCTAGGTTTTCAGTTCATGCTTCATTTGCTATATACACGACGATGTGTGTGTGTGTGTGTGTATCACCGGCTTGCGAGGAAGCACAGTGCCCATGGTTACACTCAGACTGACGATCGGTACCGAATAGCGCAAACTCGAATTGGGACCGGAAACTCATGGAATAGCGTAAATCTAGGTGGAGGAGCTGTGGACACAATTAATCGTATTCAGAAAATCATGAAAACAAATATCACAATTTTCATCAACCGAAGTTTCCATACCGAATCGGCAACAATGAGCTCCGTTTAGTCGTTTTCTTGCATTCAACCAATCTGATTTGTTTGTAGTTGACACCACCAAATTGGTCGGGACATCGGTCTCCTCATTTGAGGCTTAGAAACTGTGTCGTAATGAGTACATATTGTCGTCCGATTTCGTCCCACAATCACCATACCAACACAAAAAGAGAACCTGGTGGGATTGAATGACCGCAGTGAGAACAACATTGAATAACGTTTACAGACTATCAAAAGAATGAGCACAAGGGTATTCTATCCTGCAATTTTTTTTTTAAATATTTTTTCTGTTTCCTACGTTCGCATTCGTCTATCAGTTCCCATTGATCGTCCAATCACGTGACACAGCTGTTCATTGCAGACTCTGACTAATACTCATCCAATCTGTTTTGTCCATGCGCCAGCCTGACCTAATTGTCGGTCATCGTTTAATCGATTGATGTCATTCTTATGGTGTAGGTGATTATGATAGACAGACCCACAGACTGTTCTTCATCTCTCACCGTCTTTGACCAACGACAATCCTCGTCCCTTAAGGCCCAACCATAAAGGCCGGTTTCATTCACCGAAGCCAATACTAAGGCTTATTTCTTCAAACCTCCACGTCCAGTCATGCTTGGACCGCTGCGACGCTTCCTCCAGCATTGTCCAGCACGTGAGCAGAGCGCAGACTCAAGTGAAACATGCACAGCGGACTAATTATCACTGGTTGAAGCAAAATTAACAAATCGTAGTTCATGTGGTTCTGCTGGACACGTTATTCCCGTTTGAATCAGGTGCATTGTGAAAGATTCATTAACTCCGCTTCTCATTGGTCGATTTGAAGCTGTATGCTGAAATGCCCGTTCACTGGAGGTAATCACCAAGGCACCACCTCTCCCTCAAACGAGCCTCACCTGTCGGGCTGGTTCCTCTGCTTCTTCTCCGGTGTGCCCGAGGAAAACAGAACAGGAGATCAAACAGCTTCTCAGAGCACGCCTCGCGTGGAGCGCAACAGCGAACATGTACTGCCTTGGTAATGTGCAACCTGCTGACAGCTGTAGAAAATATTGGTCAGTTATTCAATCGTCGATGGTTTAACATCGCCAGGAGCAGTCAACTCAAGTCAAGTCAGGTGAAGTAAAGCTTCATGCACCCTGTAGGATGAATTTTCAGCATTGTTGACAAATTAGAGTGAGGAAAACTTTATGCATGGGAAAAAGAAGGATATAAATTTACCAAATGAAAAACCAAGGGATGTGATAAAGTCATCATGTGACAGACGATTTTCTAAGTCAGTAATAGCATTTGCTCGGTTGACCAAGATACGAGCAAAATAAGGGATGATGCTGTTTTCAAATGTGATGGTGCGTGCACAAAGAATCCTAAATTTGGCTCGCGTACTCGGATGAGACACCGATTTATTGGAATGGACATGCAGGCAGTCTTACTTTTCTTATCAAATGCGGATAACATGATGTGGCTGAAGGAACCAGAGTTATCCAGCCTACCACGGGAATCGGTTTTGGGAAACTGATAAGGCTCCCATATGACCAAGCCTCTCAAATAGCCTCTGCTGAGGAAGCCCTACTCACTTCCTTCTCATGGCGGAGGTGTTTTCCCATCAAAGTGAGAGGACGAAGAGCCGATATCTGGGGCTATAACCGGGTTGGTGGACCACTGGCAGTCCACCTAGGGGAGTTGGCCAAAAGCCCTGATTTCAAACTAACCAAGAGGAGGTGTACGAACCGCATAAACTTTCGTGATTGTGGTAGTGGTCACCGGCTCAATTGGGGAACGAGCTGTGTTGGGCACCTCGGACGTTTGATCCCGTCCGAAGGGCGTATGATCCGATGAACTGGACTCCGGCTCCCAATGGATTGCGATTTTCACACACCACTCCACTGCCTTGCGGGCCAGGCTTTAACTAGCTGAAGGCTCCGGTTGTGGAATCCACAAGAAAATTCACCTTCGTTGGTTTGGGCAACCTGTCAGGATTCGGCCCACAAGTAAATCAAGGAACGTTTTTCTTTTTTAAATAATTATGGTACCATGGATTGTTTGGCACACAATCTGGCCTCAGACGTGATATATATATTTATATAGTTCTGTGATAGGGCTCATTTCCAATCGTAACGCGAATGCACAACACTGCTATGGGTCCATGACCCGGCTCAGAAAAATCGGATCACAAAAGACGACGCACTGATTAGAATCGGAATAACGATCTAATGAAGTTTTCGTGATACATCGATCGACTAAACGACAGCCTACAACTCGATCGAGAT